TCAACACTAACAAAGTTGGATTTTGAACTTTCTCCATTTTCAAAACGTTTTGTCCCAACTTTATCAAAAGAAGTTTTAAGTTCATCAATTTCTTTTTGATGATTATCGTTGACCTTTGAAAGTAAATTATGAAAATCAAAATTTTTCTTTTCAAACTCATCTAGTTTGACTTTCATATCTTTAATTTTACTTTCAAGATCATTGTTGGTCTTGGATATGAGATTATTTTCAATTTTCAATTTTGAAATATCATTTTTGTATTTTAAAAATAATTTCTCATAATCCGAAGCCAACCCAATATATTCCTCTAATAGCTCATCAAAAGAATAATCTTCAAAATTAAATGAGCTAGAGGTTACCTGAGAGCTTTCCCCGATGGCCATCAAACACAAGTTTGCTACTTCTTGTTCCTCTTCATCAGAACCTTCATCATCGCTCCATGTAACCACGTGAGCCTTGTGTTTTTTCTTCGATTGACCATTCTTCTTCAATTGTGGGCAATCGTATTTGACATGACCCGACTTTTTGCACTCGTAGCAAATGATAGGGTCTTTCTCATTCGGTTCATTTTTGAAGCCTTCATTTCGTTTGAATTTTCTTCCTCGGTTGGGCTTCATCAATTTCTAAACCGTTTGGCAAATAATGCCATTTCCTAGTCATCGTCATCTTTATCCGAATCACTCTCTTATCTTGTAATTTGACAGAAACTCACACATTCTTCTTTTTCTCCTTCTCATTCTTCGTCTCGTCAATCTTCTCGAGGTCTACCTCATCTTGAAGTAGCATTTCATGAGTGAGGATTGAACCAATTAACTCTTCGAGAGTTAAATATTTTATGTTTTTAGCCTCGATGATTGTCGTTTTCTTTGATTGCCAAGCTTTCATAAGAGAGTAAACTAACTTCCTCACAAGCTTATCGTTTGAAATGATCTCTCCATATGATTTGAGACCATTGACAATCATGGAAAATCTATTTGTCATAGCTTTGATATCTTCATCCGGTTTCATCCTGAAATTTTTATAGTTATGAGTTAGAAGACTAATTTTAGATTCTTTTACCTCGTATGTGCCTTCATGAATGACTTGTAGTTTATATCATATCTCTTTGGCGGTTGTACAAGATGAAACTCTCTCGTATTCATCCGGTCTAAGAGCACAAAATATAATATGGATAACCTTTGAGTTGAGCTAGAACATTCTTGTATCTTATTCACTCCAAGATCTTGAAGGAGTAGAAGGTATGATGTATCCATCTTCTATGATATTCCATGCTCCCATGTCACTTGCTTGAATGAAGTATCTCATTTTATTCTTCCGATAAGCATAATTAGCCCATTGAAGAAATGAGGCTTGTTAACGGGCATTGAATCAATACCAAAGTCGAAGTTTGAAGTGGAGGCCATTGATGACTTGAATATCGATATAACTCTTTCAGAATCGACTTAAATGTGATTAAACCTTCAAATGAGTGAGGCTCTGATACCAACTGTTGAGTTAATCGATCGACGAAATAGACAAGAGGGGGTGAATTGCAATTAAAATTTTGGTGGAAGCTTTTGTAGAAAATAGAAAATATTTGCACAACGATTTAGAGTAGTTCGACTTCTCAACCAAAGTCTACGTCCACTACCTTAACTATCCACACTAAGGATTTTCCAAAATTCACTAATTTGTTCTTTCTTTTGAGGAAAAAGAGTAACTTTATAACCCCCTCAAGAACTATACCCCAATTCTTGAGAACACTCTCTCCAAAAGAGAAATACACAAATTTGCAAACTTAAAGAAAAACCTCACAAGACAAGATGTTTGCACAATTCTAGAACAAAGAAAGAACACTAAAAAATGAATACAATTGAGCACAACAAGTGTTCTTGAAAGCAAAATGAATATTGAATCAAAATTTGGCTTGAAATGCTCAAACTTGAGGTTTGATACTTTCTCTTTGATTCTCTAGCTTCTTTTCGATTCTCTAGCTTTTCTTCTTAATTCTTGTTGATCAATGGCTCCTAAGCTTGTTTAAATACACCTTGAATCACTTCTGAACGTTGGGGATCATTAATGAGTCAATAGAGTCGTTATTGTGTAATTATCATTTAAAAATCTGGTTGGGAGCGTGTGTGCATCGGTATACCATCAAGGTGCATTGGTACACTATGTGTAAATTCAAATATTTCGACCGTTGTAAGACTTTGTGCATCGGTACACTTGGGGTGCATCGGTACACTAATTACATTCGATGTTTCAAAAGAGCCAGGAGTGCATCGATGCATGGTCTGTGCATCGGTACACAAAATGCATTCGATGTTTCAATAAATTCAAGAGTGCATCGATGCATGGTTGTGCATCGGTACACAAAATGCATTCGAAATAGGGTGTGCATCGATACATCAAATAATGCATCGATACATCCCTTTGAAAATTTAATTTTTGGCTCGCTTTTGGTTCAAAATACTTTATAAAATTGTTTCAAAAATAATTAAGTTTAAAACACAATTTTACACTTTAGTAAGGATTGAAATTGATCTTTGAAAAACTTGGAGTAATATTTTGAAATTCGAATAATTGAATCGAATATACTTTGAAAAAGATTGTAAAATCTTAAAATTCATTTATATTTAATTTGTTATATCAAAACATCAAAATGTTTTCAACATTTTGATTACCCTCCCTGAATGGTATATAAGAACTTTAAAATGGAATTCAACAATTTTGTATTATAGTGATAAGCATTCCCACCTGCTAGCTTTTCATAATACTAGCTTGTAAAATAAATTTTGAATATTAAATAAATGTTTAAAAATCGTTTTAACAATGTTGTTGTAGTATAGTGGTGAGTATTCCCGCTTGTCACACGGGCAATTTGGGTTTGATCCCAGCTACGGCGTTTTTGTTTTTATCTTTTTTCCGCAAAAAATGGCAAATATTGTTGGGATTTTCAATGACAACTTGCTAAGGCTGGTCTATTTACTCCTTCGAGAGTGGCTGGTTTCATGGATTCTGCTCCTTTTCTTATGCCATGTGCTAGTTCCTTGAATCTGAAACTAAGTCCAATAACTTTTCATCTTCATTCAGATGTGTTGATAGGCAATATCTTTTGTAGGAACTTTTCATGGCAAAGGGTGTGATTACTGTTACCATGTTCAGGTCCCATGATTTCTACTGCATTTTCTTTCATTTCAATCTTCTTTTGGTCTCATTTTTCCAGCAATTGCTTTTCCATAAACCTTATAATGATGCAGAAGCAGAAGGAAGTCATTGATTTACTCACGTTCCCTTATTCTTGGAATCTTCTTTCTCTACTGACCCTCCTCGGATCCTTAAAATTGCTCTTTTAGTTAAGAAATGGACTCATAGATCTCGTGCACCGGGAGGGGGGGGGGGGCTCGAAAATCATGCCTTGACTCTACACCTTGACCGGAAGACCGTACGATGTGATCCACACCGAGAGCGTCGGCCTGTTGCATACTCGAGCGAAGAATGTGCCGAATCTAGCTGTTACTTGGCATGGGATTGCATAAGATCTGAATTTGAAGCTTTGAAGCAAATATTCATGGAAAATAACACATTCCAACAAATTGTGGAATGATGGCAGAGCAGTATTGGAGAAGAAAGGCAAGACCGCAGGGAAAGTGGGATGCAATTGTTCACTGCCACTAAAATGGCAGCTGCATATGAAGGACTATCTCTGCATATCAAAGGAAGGATATTACACATACCAAAAGTCCAGTTAATCAGCTTAGTAATGCTGGTTCCACATTCATGTTATAATATTATAGTGTTTGATTGGTTGTGACATTAAGGTTTTTTTTAATAACCATTTGTATTTGATTTATAGGACAATTAATTCAGATCATAAATTATAGAAATTTATAGTAGGGACATGTACAACATTAAGATTTAAACCTTGAGTGCTATTTAAGGGATCTAGCGTCTTATTAAGATAGACCAACATTTTTATAATTTTCTTTGAATTATCATACAAAATGAGACATTAGATCTCTTAAACAATGTTTAGAGTTTGAATCCTAACATTATAAATAAAGCATGTTGGAATGAAATGATTGATCTCATTATAAATTTCTCCAATAATCTATTTAGATTAGTCATTCAATAGATTACATACTTATATATATAAAAGAATATTACAACTAATCAACACTAAGATAATTATACTTAAGTTTTATAATTTTTATAATTTCTTATAGATATTTTAAGATTCTTTTAGAATTATTATAATTTATATTATAATTTTTTTATTATTTATATTCAAAAACTATATTTGTATACTTCTGTATGCTCTTAATTATTTTTTAGTTTTCATTTTTCCCTTAATTTTTTGATTTTTAGAAAAATATTAGAGCTATTATAAATTTTATTATTATTTTTTTATTTATAAGTTGAATTAATTTTCTATATGATTTTTTATTTTTCAATCATTTTAAAATAAAATAAATTTTAAGATGTTCAATCAGCATGTTCAACGATCAATAGAAAATACCTATCATCTTGATAACGTTCAATCTATATAAAAACTTAGTTGAGATACCATTCCATTTCAAATACTTCTTTGATAGCTGTTTTTAAAATTAAATATTAATTGATATATCACTTCACGTGTAAACTTATTTAAGTATTGTGTGCAATTAAATAATCAAATTTTAGATAATTTTTTTTTAAAAGTGAGAAATTTGATGTCATAGTTACAACTTTTTATATTGTTGTTACTAAAACAGAAACAAGATCAAAACGCAGTGACTAATACTGTTGTTTATCCTGAAATTGTAGCGTATTACATTATGTGTATTCATTCATCCACTGTCGCAGCATAACAGCTGCCATGCCAGCCTGATTCTATTCATATTTGTACATTTCCGATTTGTCATTTTTCCAACTGCCCACTTAAACGGCACCGTTATACGTCATTTCCCTCACTAAAAGCCAAAAATCGTATCTATATATTAAATCGGCCGTTTCAAAAATCAAAATCAAAGTCCCCCTTTTCCACCTCTCTCCAATGGTCATCGTTTTTTCCATTTCTTTTCAGTCCACAACTCTTCCTTTTACTTAATTTCCTTTTTCTTTAAACTTTCAGTATAATTTCTCCAAAACTATATTTTCTTCTTCTTCTTCTTCTTCTTCTTCGATTTTCTCTTCTCGATCTATCCACTCCGAGTAAGTTCAATAGCTTCCGTATCTATGTTTTCTTCTTTTCTCTTTTTAGATTGATTGATTTTTTTTGGATCTTGCAGGTTTGAGAGAGAAGGGGAATGGCGCATAGAGTAGATCACGAGTACGATTACCTGTTCAAGATCGTGTTGATCGGCGATTCTGGAGTTGGAAAGTCGAATATTCTCTCTAGGTTCACCAGAAACGAGTTCTGTTTGGAATCTAAATCAACAATTGGCGTCGAGTTTGCTACTAGAACCCTCCAGGTTTATCATAGTTTCAATCAACTCAATCATTGATTCGTCTTCGTGCATGTTTACTTTTTCCTGCTGAAAAATTAGTTGTTCTCGAAGTTCCTTGAATTTTGAGTGATAAATCATCCTCTTGATATTTTATTGTCTTAGAAATACTTATGATCTAATTTACTTCAGGGGAACTTTGCATGATTAAGTTGACCGTGAACTTTATGCTACTTAGTTGCATAATTAGGAGTATCTAAAAGAGACATCTCAGTAATGTTAAATTAGGAATCCGATTGCCTTTTCTTGCTCTATGATTTTAAATTTTGAAGTTTGTTTAGAACACAACGTAGTTAGGCAAGAAAAAAAGATGATCGGAGAGTGATGATCGTCGACTTTAGCATTGTAGTTTAGTTCAGAAATATGATATGAATATAGGAATTATTCAGTCTAATTTTTAGTAACAGTTTCTACATGTAAGAAATGTGGGAGAGTTGATCAATTCAAAGCATATTGAATTGAAAATTAAGTTATTATTATTGATCCAGGCCTTTATTATGCTGTTTTATTCCAATGTTAATAATATGGAATATATTGTTGTTTCTTACGGACTTATGACATAATTGATTTGGTTCTGAAAAAGTCCAAACTGTGATTTGTTGGCTTGTCATTGTAGAGTTGTTAGGACCCCTTAATATGATCCATATTTTCTACCCTTTAATCCAAAGTATTTTTTTTATCTTTGTTAGTTAGTGCTCATGGTTATGCAGTTTGGTAAACTGTTGGTTTTGCTTGTATTATGCAACTAATTTCTATCATTTTTCATGATTTAGGTGGAGGGAAAGACTGTTAAGGCTCAGATTTGGGATACAGCAGGCCAAGAGAGATATCGAGCTATCACTAGTGCTTACTACAGAGGAGCTGTTGGTGCTCTTCTTGTCTACGACATAACTAAGAGGCAAACCTTTGTTAATGTTCAAAGGTGGCTGCGCGAGTTGAGGGACCATGCAGATTCTAACATCGTAATCATGATGGCCGGAAACAAATCCGACTTGAATCATCTCAGAGCGGTTTCTGAGGAGGATGGTCATGCTCTAGCTGAGAGGGAAGGTCTTTTGTTTCTCGAGACGTCGGCACTGGAAGCAACAAACATCGAGAAGGCATTCCAAACCGTATTGAATGAGATTTACCATATCATAAGCAAAAAAGCATTGGCAACCCAGGAAGCAGCTGCTAGTGTTGCGCTTCCGAGCCAAGGAACCACCATTAATGTCTCCGATGCCTCAGGAAACACTAAAAAAGGATGTTGTTCTACTTAACAAGGTGGTAGGTTATATTTGAGGAAATGAAAAAAAATCGTTAGCAAGTTGTCCTTTTTCTTTTCCCCTTTTTTTTGGCTGAGAAAGATACATGTAGAATACTGAGCTTTTTTTTTTTTGCTTTCTAAAGAACCATCTTGTTTGTTAGTTGTATGATAAGGCCGGCTTATACTTTCGATCTTAGCAACATAGAAGCATAATTGGTTATTTTGATGGGAAGTCGCTATTAGAAACATAGAAGCATAATTGGTTATTTTGATCAAGTCTTTAACTTGTAATAATAGTGCCTCTCCTTTTATACTTCATATTTTGTACTTTAATGGTTCTGAGAATTAAAAGGTTCAAATTAGAACTGACAATTTGGCCAATTGGGTCTATTTGAGTTGGATTTCGTGTCCGGTCATTTCAAATTTGGTTGAGTTTGGGTTTTATTTTTAGGTTTTGGTCGAGTAGATTCGGATTAAACTTGATTGAGTGAGGTTTCCGGGTTCGGTCCAAATTTGGCAGGTTTGATTCAAATGGATCTTTCATTGAATCAGTTGTAGGATATTGGCTTTGTTAAAATGAAAACAAAACAAAAAGCTCAACAAAGTAAAGAAAGATGTGCTAATGGGGTAATAAATTAAGAAGTTGATATGCATACACTTGGTAGGATTCGAAAATCCGATCTTTCCTGTCACTGACACCTTGTTAAAATTTACCTCTGTTATAACTGCTCGATTTGTACAGTTATGTGATGAATTTTATATGTTTTTTCACAGTAATCCCTGATCTTGCTAATTATCTCCTTAGACTCGACTCCTGGCTTAGCAGCTACATGGCAGGACAATACAAGTTTCCCTACAGTTACTGCCCATACGTGGAGGTCATGAATGTCTTCGACTCCATCGATACCCTTGATACCACTTTCCAGGATCTCAATATTAATGTCTCTCGGTGTCCTTCCCATCAATATATCGAAAACATCTCTAAGCATCGGTAGAGTGGTACTTAGGGCCAACGTTGAGAAGACAAGGGTGCAGAGTAGATCAATGATCAACCACTTCGGTTTTAGCCAAATAACAGCTCCGGCAATCATCACCCCGACAGATTGAATTAGGTCAGTCACAACATGCAAGTAAGCTCCTTGGAGATTTATGTTCAATATCTTCTTCGTTGTACTACTTGGCACTAGACTAGTTTCATCTTCCTCGCCTAACTCACAAGGTTTACCACTGTCATGGTGATGGCAGTGGTGATGACTGTCCCTGAAAACATGGTGACTGTGGTCGTGACCCAGCCAAAGGACTAAAATTGAGTTGATAACAAATCCAAGAGCTGCAACTGCAAACATGAGTGCCCCATTTACCTCCTTTTTATCGTGGAGAAGCCTGTCAAGCGCCTCATAAATTAAGAGTAAAGATATGAACCATATGAGCTGCACAGATATAAGAGCACCCAGGACTTCAAGACGACTGAATCCGAAGGAATGGTATGATGTTGCCTTCCATGCTGAAGCCCAGACCGTGAAAAGAGATATGGAGAATCCAGCAACATCAGTGAGCAAGTGGGCAGCATCTGTCAGAACCGCAAGGCTATGAGCTTTCACTCCACCAATAATCTCTACTAATATCACCATAAGATAGAAAATAATAAGCCCAGAAAGTTGGGATGCCGACTTCCATCGTTCCTTTGATTCCAAAATAATGTTTTCTTGCAAGGAAGTAGAAACAGAGAAGCATTTTGACTCTACTGGAATCAAAATGACAGTGTTTTCTTCAGAGATCAGTGGCAACTCGTTTTTCATTTGATCCTTAAATCTCAAAATGGGGTCTTTTTCAGCATTCATCCTCCTTCACAACAGGACCATATTGAGTCAAACAAATAAACAAGATGAAGTTAAAACCCTTAACACAAAAACTTTAGATTAAACATCTTGTAAAGATCAAGGGCATCAATAGAAGCTCGGAGCAATCGATCAATTCCTTTTGAGTTTCACTCACAGTTTTAACTTGATGGAAAGTTTCTCCAAATTTTATGCACAACCAAAGCTCTTAAATCAACAGGACTGAACAGCCAAAGAACTAACAATATATATCATCCGTCTCTTCTAAATTAAAAGACAGATCAGATTACACACAATAGCTCACAAACTAAACCAAAAAAAAAAAAAAAACTATGCTTATTGATATCCACCTCCTACAAGAACATAGGCTCAGCCAGCCAGATCAATTTTCACCCTTCAGATACTACTCAAGTCACACATCAAAATCAACATGAGAAGCCCTTATCTATGCGTCAATATTGTTCTTTTAATCTTTGCAGCTTCTCAACTCAATATAATAGAACAACTATAGAGGGGACTTATATTTTACTCTCATAGTGACAGGCTAAAGTTAAATTCAAAAGGTGAATTGATGCATTAAATGTAATGCTAAAGGTATATATGCACCCCAAAATTTACTTCTCTTGTATGATAGCTGTTAATACTTTTGAACCTCAAACTTCTCAATAACAATCATATACTGAAATTTTTTTCTCGATTTTCTTTTTGGGTTCTTCTTGTTCCTTGACTTCACATCCCTCCAAGTCGATGCATAAAAACCTCAAGCATGAAATTGGTAAATTGAAGGTACTGAATTTATTCATTCAATGTTGAAAATTTCAGCATATGATACACAAACCTAGCAAGGTAACTGGCCATGAAATCAAATCCACAAAGAAGACAAGTCTTTACTTACTAAGGCATTAAAGATACATGGAAGAGGGGGGAAAGAGCTTAAGGTTGTGTCGAGACATGGGAATATGGGTTTTGATTTTAAAAGTGCAGTTTTGTAATCAAATTCATAAATTTGTTAGAGATCCCTATTCAATGATGAATTTGAGAATTTGAAATTATATGATGTATGCATTTCCTTGTCACAGTTTACATAAATAACAAATGAAATCTAAATTTCGTATTCCCAAAATGCATAAAAATCCCCCCCCCTTTCCTGTTCCAGCTAAACATATATCTCTATAGCTACAATTCGAGAGCAACAAAACAAATACACATTCCACAAAATCTCATGAGAAACGCTAAAAAGAACGGATAAATTTACCAGAGAACCAGAGCTGAAGGATCCAGAAAAGAGCAGAGGTCCGATCATGAAAGGAGACAATTCAAACAATTTTGCTGTATAGATTGGGATTAGGTCAAATTCTATAGAAAAAGGGAAATTTCTGATGTGGGAATCAGCAATGATGCAGACATTGAAACATTATTGGGAATCAGCAATGATGCAGACATTGAAACATTATTACGAGTTTCCAGAAAATAATATATTCCTTCTCATAAGACGTATTTTGAATTTATATAGACTTCCTCACTTTTCAGTTCCGCAAGAAATGGAAGGAAAGCTTACATTACACGCGCCAAAAATCGATTGAAATGGATTCTGCCGACCAGCCTGTTGTCCCCTCGTATAAATAACAAAAAGAGAAAATCGTCTCAGTGGCCAAAAAAAAGTTATAATATACGATTTTAACCAACTTTTTTTGGATTTGCCAAAATGACCAACAAAATCGCAACGCGAAATAAAAATCGCAACGCGATCCCCAGAATCGCAAATCAGTTTCCAAAATCGCAACGCGATTCTTGAAAATCGCAATGCGATAGTACAAATTCGCATTGCGATTTTCCAAAATCGCAACGCGAATATGAAAATCGCAACGCGAACACATAAATCGCAACGCGTATCCGTAAATCGCAACGTGTATCCGTATATCGCAACGCGTATCCGTAAATCGCAATGCGTATCCGTATATCGCAACGCGTATCCGTAAATCGCAACGATAATCCGTAAATCGCAACGAGAATCTGTAAATCGCAACGATAATCCGTAAATCGCAACGAGAATCTGTAAATCGCAACGATAATCCGTAAATCGCAACGAGAATCTGTAAATCGCAACGATAATCCGTAAATCGCAACGAGAATCTGTAAATCACAACACTGAAATTTTGGGTATATAACACTGAAATCATAAACTAAATCCCTAAATCGCAACTCATTCCATCTCCATCTATCACTCTCTCCGGCGACATCCGTTCCTATATCCAACGACATCCTTCCCAATCCGGCAACAGGTTTTAGTTTCGAGCTCGTCTGTTTAGTAAATTAATTTACAACCATGAAATCATCTAATGTTGATCATGTTTGGATAGATTTGTGTTTTGGAGGGTCATGGGATAATGTTCATGGTGTTTTACAATATATGCCTTTACCCATGAATCTTCAACTAAAATTGTCTTTACAAAAGTTAACTTATGAAACTCTAATGCTACGTGTTTCAAATAAATTGAATTTAGAGCCCCTAAGTGGATTTAGGCCATCTTATCAGAGAAATGGTAAAGTTTATTGTTAACCGACAATGAAGATGTTGAACGATTCATTGCTTACATTAGTGTTTCACAAGATGATGTTACATTGTATGTTGTTGAACCTAGAAGTAGTATTGTTGGGTCAGTAGCGGGTAGTAATCAACTAAGTTTTTCTCAAAACCCACAACCTTTCTCTAATCCAAATCCCAATCAACTTTCAGCACCAAATTCCGGTTTCGTATTGACCAGTTAGACGATGATGAGCCAACAGAAAAAATTGTGAGTACTAGTCAGTATTCGAAATTTGGTCTTGGTCAATATCCGGACTTTGATATTGGTCAATACACGGATTTTGATGATGTTTCAGAAGAAGAAACAGACCCTGCGTGTAATGATTTTGATATTGGTCAATACCCGAATTTTGATGATGAAACAGCCGTTGCCGAAGAATGTATTGTTGATGATAATGAGGAGGAAGTTACGACTGTGAATGAACATGTTGAACATCCATTTGTAATTCATATAATCCTGAAGAAGAAAGAAGAAGAAAAAATCCCCGAAGAAAAGAAAATGCCACGGGCGTATAACTGGAATATGCCAGAATTACTTCAGATACCGGAAGAAGAGTTGGTAAAGAAAGCAGTTGATTGTTACACAAAAGTTATTCGTATCAAGAAAGATGATTGTTTTGATACAAAGGAAGACTTGAAGATAGCTTTGTATACGAAATGTGTGGAAGATGGCTATCAACTAAAAGTTAACAAATCAAGCAAAGATCGTTTCGAAACAAGGTGTATGATTGACAAAAACTGTATGTGGCGAATGATTGCAAAGAGAATAAAAGATTGCGAAATGTTTCAAGTTAGGACTTTTATTGATAAACATACATGTTCAAGAACCCAAGTTTTTCCTCACCATAGACAGGCAAACAAAAAGGTGTTGGGTGGTTTTCTGGCTGAGTTAATGTTTTTGAATGGCAGGGTATATCGGGGACATGAAATTATGACTGACATGAATGCTCGGTTCAAGATTAGTATATCATATTCTCAAGCTTGGAGAGCCAAATGTTATGCCTTGGAATTGTTGAGGGGGTCGCCAGAAGCATCGTTTGCCCAACTGCCGGCTTATTGTCACAATTTAAAGCTGAAAAATCCTGGGTTAGTAACTCATATCAAAACAGATAGAGATGGACGCTTTGAGTTGCTGTTTATCGCCATTGGTGCTACGGTTAGTAAATCAATATAATTTTGTTGACTCATTTTTGTTAGTTACATGCATTCACATTTAAATGATTATATTTCTTGTGTATATTATTTTGTAGATTCGTTCGTTTATTACTTGCATGCGCCCAGTTATTATAGTTGACGAAGCACATTTGAAAGGTCGATACCTTGGAGTAAACTTATTAGCAGTAGCCATGGATGCTAACAATGGGATATTGCCAATAGCTTACGGGGTTGGCAAATCTGAAACCTCTGATTCATGGACATGGTTTATGGGGCATCTTAGGGATTGCATAGGTCCTATTAGCAATCTGACAATCATATCTGATAGGGCAAACTCAATTGACAACGCTGTTAGAAGGTGTTTCCCAGATGCTTTTCATGGACTTTGTGGTGTTCATTTGTATAGAATCTAAAATCAAGGTCTGCTGGTATAAAAAAGCACAAATGGACATACTGGAAGGCTGTAAAAGCTTATCGGGAAGTGGATTTCAATAAGCATATAAATTGTTTAAGACGTGTTTTGCCTCAGTGTGCTCAAACACTAGAAGATGTCGGGTTTGAAAGATGGTCAAGAGTACATCAACTTGGAGCAAGATATGGTTTCATGACGTCTAATAGTGCAGAATCAATCAACGCTCTAAGTCGTCATTCCCGGAAATTACCCATTACTATGTTAATGGAGTTTTTTCGAGCCTCTATTCAACAGTGGTACTACAAGAAAGAAACCATGCAGGTATTATTTCTTTGAATTCGTAACTTATCATATTTATATATTTTACTAAGTATTGTTTATTTAAATTTACAGGAACATTGGAACATCGTGTACACCATGGACTGAAAAAAAGATAACGAAACGTGTTGTGAAGTCAACGTCATGGAGAGTTGAACCATGTTCAAACACTTTGTTTCAAGTACTGGATATAACTTAAATGGGCTAGTCGATCTAAATGCAAAGACGTGTAGTTGTATGAAATGGAAACACTGGTTATCCGTGTGGCCATGTTATAAAAGTTGCTCTTCATTTAAACCAAGATGATTCAAGCGCATACGCTATGGATTGCTACACTACAGAAGTTTATCGACAGACTTATGCCGAGATTGTCTACCCTATTCCACATCCTTCTGAGTGGGACATACCAGATGACTTACAAACAGTTTTGCCACCAGCCATGGACAGAAGGCTACCTGGCCGACCAAAAAGTCACGATCGTATACCGTCTAAGGGTGAAGAGAAGAAGAGATCGACATGTAGTCGGTGCAAGGAAAGTGGTCATACAAGGTTGACATGTGGATCACCAGTGCCATCAAAATCATCTTTTCCTCTACCAAAATATGGATCCTCATCAAAATCACAATTGGCTTCACCTTTTGGGACTGTTAACTTAGGTGATTTTTAAATGCAAACGTTGTATTATGTGGATTTTATGTGTGAACTTTTAACATTTTCAGTTGAATTAATGACTCAGGCCAACCATTTTGACTTAACCAACTCTTGTTATTCAGTTGTTATCACTATTAGGCATGCATTTGACTATCGCAACACGGAAATTACAATCGCAACGAGAGAATCGCAATGCGAAATGAAAATCCCAACATGAAATCGCAATGCGGAAATGAAATCGCAATGCGAAATGAAAATCGCAACGAGAGAATCGCAATGCGAAATGAAAATCGCAATGCGAAATGAAAATCGCAACGAGAGAATCGCAATGCGAAATTAAAATCGCATTGCGATTCTCCCGTTGCGATTTTCATTTCCGCATTGCGATTTTCATTTCGCATTGCGATTCTCTCGTTGCGATTTTCATTTCGCATTGCGATTTTCATTTCGCATTGCGATTTTCATTTCGCATTGCGATAGTCAATTTTTCCTTCAACATAATGCAGATTGAAATCAACAAAATCAACCATTACATTTCAATCAATTAAACAAGCACAAATAAGAATTATATTCGCATCAATTACACAATCAACTTTTACAAATCATCTTTTACAAATCAATTAAACAATCAAAAAATAAGCAATAATTCTTATTTCCGATCATCTACTATTGAATCAACTTTTACAAATCAATTAAACAATCAAAAACAATCAATTAAAACTATTGAATCAACTTTTGCAGCCATACATCATTTTCACGCAGTTCACTTCTGAGATTAACCTGCAGAAACCAAACATTTGCTCAAACACTTTCTACACATCTAAAACCTACAAACATCAAATTATTGAATTCTAGGTACTTAACCAAACATTTTCAAACCAAAAGTATATAAACTTACCAATTGTTTATGGACATTTTTATAACGCGGATGCAGGTAGGCAGCGTCTCGTATATATCGATTTAGCCATATAATGCCGAAACCACAAGCCTACTGCAGCTCTATCTCTATCGGTGGGAGGTAGATACTTGATGCTTCCCGTCGTCAAACGCTCCAACACCAAGCATACGAGAGGACCACAATCTCCTCTGGCTCCGCTCGTTTGTTGTGGCGTGGTCTCGTCTCTAATAACTTAATATTGAGCTTCTTT